AAATGTGTAGGAATCATTATTGACATATATAATTGTCTTAGTTAGGGTTTCTGTTGCTGTGAAGAGACACCATAACCATGGCAACTCTTATAAAGGAAAACATTTAACTGGGGCTGGCTTACAGTTCAGAAGTTTAGTCCACTATCATCATGGTAGGAAGCATGGCGGCATGCAGGCAGACATGGTGCTGGAGGAGCTGAGAGTCCTACATCTTTGATTCACAGACAACAGAAAGTGAACTGTCTCACTGGGCGTAGCTTGAGCATAGATGAGACCTCAAAACCCTCCTCCACAGTGACACACTTCCTCCAACAAAACCACACCTACTCCACCAACGCCACACCTCCCGTTAGTGCCACTCCCTTTGGGGGCCATTTTCTTTCAAACCACCACCATGGATCTGCATTTCTCCTAGACACAGAGTTCAACTTCAGCTTGTTCGTTTGATAATTGGGACAACTTAACCTACTGCAGTGAAATGACACCAAGCAGTTAGGAGGTCATTTCCTCCAGGGGTGAAGATGTACGATACTGAGGTGGCTTTGCACTGAGGTCCTCCTCTCTCTCTCTGTCTTCTGCCTCCCAGGTCACGGTGCCTGCCTGAGGGTACATTTCCAGCTGCTCCCCTTCCTTGTGACCCTGTTCTGATCCACGGGGACAGAAGACAGAGGGGTTCTGCTGTGGGATGTTCTGTATGTTAAATGTGTTGCTCTGATTGGTTAATAAATAAAACACTGATTGGCCAGTAGCCAGGCAGGAAGTATAGGCGGGACAAGGAAAGAAGAAAATTCTGGGAACAGGAAGGCTGAGGCAGGAAGATGCTGCCAGCTGCCGCCATGAGAAAATGTTAAGATACCGGTAAGCCACGAGACACATGGCAACTTATAGATCAATAGAAATGGGTTAATTTAAGATATAAGAACAGTCAGCAAGAAGCCTGCCATGGCCATACAGTTTGTGAGCAATATAAGTCTCTGTGTTTACTTGGTTGGGTCTGAGCAGCTGTGGGACTGGCAGGTGACAGAGATTTGTCCTGACCGTGGGCCAAGCAGGACCAGAAAAACTCTAGCTACAGGGTTCCTGGTTTTGTGACTGTCCCTGGAGGACAACTCAGAAGCCACTTAGATGGCCCCTGTTCATGTCCTATGACTCAGTCTTGCTCCTGTGGTCCACCTGCTGAGCGGCTGTGTGCCCCGTGAACCACTCAGAGTTTCTGCCCCCAAATATGAGGTTGTTATCTGAGTTGTTAGGGTCAAAGCCTGGGCCTGCACAGCCCTAACAAACTGGGCCATTTATCCTTAAAAGGTATATTGAGAGGTGAGGAAACATGAAATGTAGAAAAAGGAGACTTATTCAATGTGGCCACACAGGGAAGAGAAACAAAGGGACCCAGTGACCCTCTGAAATCCAGTTCAGGGTCCTGACATGGAAGTTTTATTTTAAATAGCAGGCCAGAGATATGCAGAACTGGTCACCGTTTGGTCCCATCTATTATGATCTCAGCTCTGGTCTTTCTGCAAGATGATCTAACAAGCTGTCAGGAAAGCTTGAAGCCTCTTCCTGGGAGACAAGTTCCTCCTCTGGCTGGCACCAGGCTTCAGCCTGTTTCTTCTCCCAGTATGAGACACCTGGAGAAATCCCTCTTTCTCGGGGACCATTTTTAAGAGTCAGCCATCCATGGCTCACATCTTTAATCCCAGCACTCAGGAGACAGAGACAGGGAGATCTCTGTGCATATGAGGCCAGCCTGGTCTACAGAGTGAGTTCCCACACAGCCAGGGCCACACACAGAGAAACCCCTCTTGAAAAACCGAAAAGCCCAAACAAAAGAGTCAGATAGCCACAGGGAAGGCAGGGCACAGAGGTCTCGATTGTGTGCCTTTGCTCCTGCCAGAGTGTTGACAGAATGGGGATATGGGTCCAGAAAGCAATGTCAAAGATGTCAGAACACATCAGGCCAGTCCTCACAGGGGACTTCTGTGGGGAGACTGACAGATGGACAAGTGTCCTCCTTCCTCCCGTCCTGCCTCTTACCTGCCCCTCTCACACAGGGAATACACTTCCCCGACATACAGACGACTCCAACACCTTCAAACAAAGGGCACATCTTGTCTTTCTCGGGAAGCATAGCTCATCCCTTCAGGGGTACATCTTCCAGAAAGTCCGGGATGGTTCACTTCCAGAAAGTCCTACTTCACCCTGGAATGTTCTTCTCTATGACTTTCTAGACGGAAGACAGGGCCTGAATTGATGGCTCATTGTCTAAGGGTGCTGGCTGCTCTTTCAGAAGACCTGAGTTCGAGCCCCACATTTTGGTTCACAACCATCTGCAACTCTAGTCGCAGAGGATCCGATGCCTTCTTCTGGCCTCTGAGGGTACCAGGCACACATGTGGTACACAGACATACATGCATGCAAAACTCCAAACCCCCCACCCCACCCCACTCCCCACACACAATAATAATGATTTTTTAAAAGAGGGATACAAATAAAAAGACCCTTCTCTAAGAGAAAGGAGAAATGTCAGGCTTCCTGAACCTGGGAGCAATTTTTTTTAACCTTAGTTTTCTTCAAATGAGTCTACAGTGGGGGAGGGGAGATGCATAGGGGAATATCAGGAGATCTCCTCCCTGTGTTAAATTATAAATGAATCTCTACTTTGCACACATCACTAACAACAACGAAAATTCAATGTGTATAAGAGTCCAAACCCCTAACCTACCAGAAAGTGCCTTACTTGAAGATGGAGTCTTGAAAGAGACAATTTTGTCAGATGAGGTCATTAGGGTGGGCTTCATCCGGTACACCTGGGCGTCCTCCTCAAAGGAGATTAGGCTCAGAGACCAGAGAACACAGACACAGGGAGAAGGAAGGTGGCTTTCTGAAAACCAAGGCGGCGGCTCAGAACCCTGCGTCCAGAGCTGTGAGCAGGCACGTGCGTTTCTATTGTGTAGGCGCCCTGTTCCCGGGTACTGTGTTACCTCACCCCACCAAACCAGTGAGAGGCAACATCGCAGACATTGAAGTGACGTGTGTCAGTATTTGCTGATTTCTAATTTTCAAATATTCAAAGAGGGCTTTGGCTCAATGGGTGCGGACTTCTGAGTTTTCATGTCTGTTGGTCCCTCACCATCTACCTGTCCTGCTGGCTTCCTGGGACCCCCTGGGGGCTCAGATCCTTTATTAATGTGAGGAAGGGGGTTAACTGGGTTATCTTTCACCCCTGTTATGAGTGGATGACTGGTGAACCTGCTCGACACTCTGCGGAACCGGCTGGCTTCTGCGAGGGTGGTTCACGCAACTTTACCTTTCAGATAGCCAGGACCCCACAAAAGAGGTGGACAGCTTCGAGACCGCTGACTCTGTTTCCACCCTTCGAAAGACCTGAGGCCCATTAGCCTGCTAAGGAACTTATCAAGTCTTATAAGCAAGCGAACTAGGTTTCATCGAACCTTTTCCAAGCCCAGGGAGCCCAGAGCCCTGACGCTCACCTGTGTCTTTGGTAGACAGCAGCCGTTTGTGGAGCTGGGTCCCACTTGCTTTAGTCCGTCTTCTGTTACTAATATCTGATGCCACAGTCCTGCGTTATTACTCACGGCAAATTATAAGACAAAGCGGTTTGTTTGGGTGCGCAGTTACGGTTGAAAGGCAGGAGTCCCATCTGGCAAATGGCCTTGCTGACCGAGTCCCCAAGCGCTGCAGGGCATCATCACGGGGCGAGAGACAGCGATGGCAAGTTCATGTCCCTTACAGGCTTCCTTCTCTTCGTTTTTTTTTTAAAGTTGAGATTTATCTTTATTTTATGTGTATGGGTTTTTTTTGCCCCAGACTGGATGTGAGATTTGTTACTAAACATGATTTGGTAAGGTACAGGAGAACACTGTGGAAGCTCTCAGGAATGCAGGGCCCACCACTCAGCCAGCGGACCGGAACTGGAAATATAGTTGGCCCTATAGCCATCAGGAGTGACATGTCTTCAAAGTCATCTGCATCAAACCTGGTGAAGCCCCACTTCTTTGAGATGTGGGTCTGCAGGTGGCCAGGGAACTTGAACTTGGCTCTACACAGAGCCTCAGTCACATGTTCCTTATTCTACAGCTTGGTGAGGATGGATACGGTGACCTGGCCAATGTGAACCCTGGCCACTGTGCCCTGGGTCTTCCCAAAGGCACCTCCCATACCTGTGTGAAGCCTAGATTAGGGACATCACTGAGGTCAGAGACTTAAAACTGCCAGAAAGCCATCTCCAAGGTCCCTTAGGGCAACCCACACAGGCAACAGGCTACATACACCACCACCAAGGCTGCTGTTTGCAACAATTACATACCAGACCCCCATGGGGAAAGGGACTTGGTTGGCTTAGTTGGTTGCAAGTGTAAGCATGTTTTATCTACTTGTATGTGCACCACATGCATGTCTAATGCTCATGGAGGTCAGAAATGGGGGTGGGAGAGGGGGAAGGGTCTGAGACTCCAGAACTAGAGTTGAACTGGAGTTACAAGTGACTATAGGCTGCTACAGGGGAGCTGGGAATCAAACCCCAGTCCTCTGTAGGAGCGGCCCGTGTCCTTAACCACTGAGCCACCTCACCAGTCCCTCTCTTCTCCTTTAAAATGCTCCAGTGTCCACCCATGCAGACTGCACCCTGAAGACGGTCTCAAAACCCAATTGCTTTTCACGTTCAAAGACCCGCCCCTGTGCGCCATCAGCAGAGGAAGCTCCCCTCTGGGTACCTCACGATGAAGATGAGAGTCAGGAGGACCGCCGTATTCAAGCCGCAGGAGATGCTTAAAGGGAAAAACATTCTAATAACTAGCAAGTAAGACTACTCAGACCATCAGTATAGTGTCGATTGTAATGGTGAATAGAGATGGGGCTCAATTTTGACCCAAGCGAGGACCAGGGTGGGTAAGAACCAAGGAGAATCAGGGGTGAGTGGGCAGAAAGGAGGAGACATTGGAAGCAGCCCACGGTGCTCAGTCATCGAAGATGTGGCAAGTCTCCCTAGACAGACTCAGAAGGGTCCTAGTGATAACTGGGCCAGGCGTGTGGAAGACCACCCTGAGGATGAGGACTGAGAGGAGCCTGTCCAGACTGTGTCACCTGTCGCCAGGCTGGTCTGTGACATAAGCAGCAGCAACACTGATGTCTTTATCACGTGATGCCCTTCAGTTCCACCGTCCAGAACAGTTGACATCACGAGAGGATAAAAAGATGGGAATCCAGCGAGGTTTCAGCTGGATTTATGTCAGGCTAATGGCTCATGCGCTCGGCAGTAAGAAGACAAAAATGTATCTCTAGTTGACCAGCACGGAAACCCAATGAGTTACACCATTGGAGCAGCCCAGCCTCGAACCTCTGCAGGTCGGACATCCATCCCAGCTCAGAGCATCCTGAGGCAGTCCTGGACAACCCAGAGGAGTTAGGAGTGAGACCACAGGCGAGGCCTTGGGCCCACAGTGGCCAAGAAAAGCACAGGCTATTTCAATCCAGAGTGTCACTGTCCTCTCCTCCGTCTGTCACCTCCTGAATTTCACAGCCACCATGGGGCATTTCTACGGGAAGGTAGCGACATCCAGTTTCTCTGGAACGTGGCTTATATGAGGTGAGAATGCTGTGTTCACGGGAAATGTGGCAAAAACGGGGTGGTGTGTTTTCCCTCCCTAAACTTCACTGTTTCCCAGAAAGCTGTCTGTGACAAGGACACAACTGGAACAGATGAGGTTACAGAGAACCTCTTCCTACGCCCAGGATGAAAACTAGCCTGGTATAAGAAAATGAATTGAAGTCCCAAGTGAACAATTCTAAAGGCCACCTGGTTCCTGGTACCCCACAGTTCCATTAGAATCTCTAGGCCATTTACAAACCTTACCTGTCTGGGTCCCACTGCTTGGGACACTGGGACAGAGAACTCTAGGAATTTAAGAGAAAACACATCTTAAGATTCCCACTGGGCCTGTGAGATAACTCAGCAGGTAAAGGTCCCTTCCACTAAGACCTGAGTTCAAACCCCAGCACCCACATAGTAGAAGGAGAAAACAAACTCTCATAGTCATCCTCTGACTTCAAGACACAAGCCCAACCCTCCCCACCCCAACACACACACAGACGTGCAAAATAAAGAAACAGAACCAAAAGAATGTAAGGAGTCCCATCTCCCAGAAGACTTGGCACTCCAAATAGGATTCAGACCAGGGATATGATTTACATTTACATTTTGGATGAAGAAACTGAGGCCCAGGGAAAGGGGGTGACATGTGAAAGGTCACACAGCTAATTAGTTTCAAAGTAAAAGCTGGAATGTATCGTGCAGCAGCCTGTATTTCGGGAGCCTTGATTCACTGACCTGGCAACCTCAGCCGGCACACAAGATCTAAAGCCTCCAGTTAGTGTTCATTGGGACTCAGATGTGCAGATTCCATAGGATGGGAGACCCAGGAATAAGTCCACACAGCTCCAGCCACCCAAGTTCTGACAGAGGCACTTAAATACAACAGAGCTGGTTGTCCACGTGCAGAAGAATGGAATTAGAACCGCCTGTCTCTCTCACCGCACAAAAAGTAATTCAAAATGGATCAAAGACCTTAATTAGACCTGAAACTCAGAAAAACACTTTACTGCCTACACCCAAGCAAGAACTTTCTGAGTGGGACCCTGATAGCACAGGAAATAACCCCAAGGAGACCACTGCCAGACTAAAGTGACGGCCTGTAGATGGGAGATAAATCTTTGCCAACTACAATACAGATTGGAGATTGATATCCAGGATATGTAAAGAACTACAAAAATTAAAAATAAAACAAAAAGTCCTCTCGTGGGATATTTTGATCATACTCTGACACTCCCGAGACTGCCAATAAAGTTTACCTTGAATCGGAAGGCAGAGCTAGCTACTAGCTGACCAAATTAGCCACAGAGGTTTCAGAGGACCCAGGACATACAGAGAGACACAGGAAGCAGTAGGGAGGGGCTTAAAGAGAGACGCAGCCCTCTTTTGGATGGAGGAAGGAGAGAGGAGATCACTGGTCAATTCACCGCTTCTCTGATCAATCAGGTTCTTACCCCAAATATCTGACTCCTGAGTTTTTATTGATGAAGAATAATTAGATAAACACTTCATCTGGTGCCTCAATTTGGGCACCAAATGTAGCGTGCTTCCTTGTCAGGACTGCCAGCCCGCAAATAACAACACGGAGACTTATTGATAATTATATAAGCTTGGCCATTAGCTTAGACTTGTCTCAACTAGCTCTTATAATGTAAACTAACCCATTTACATTAATCTCTGTTCTGTCATGTGATGCTACCTCTCGTCCATCTTGCACCTCCTGTTTCCTCTCTGTCTCTGGCTGGTGACCCCACCTTTCTTTATCTCAGAGTCCTCTCTGTCCCCAGAAGTCCTGCCTAACCTCTTCCTGCCTAGCTATTGGCCACTCAGCTCTTTATTAAATCAATCGGATTTAATAAATTTGCCTTGGCAAAGACACATCTTCACAGTGTAAACAAACATTCCGCAATCAAGTCCAGCCCAGAAAAGGGCTAATGCCTGGGACACACAGCTATCAAATGAGGAAATATAATAAGCACTGGAAAAGCATTCAACATCCTTAGCCATCAGGGAAATGTACATTAAAACTGATTGGAGATTGCATTTCACTCTAGTCAGAATATATGGGGGTCAGAATGTATGGGGGTCAGAATGTATGGGGAGAGATGTGCTACTCACCACAGACGGGGATGGGAATCTGTGTGACCACTGTGGAAATCAATATGAACGTGCCACAAAAACAAAATCAGAAACCTGAAAATAGAGCTGCAAACTATGTATGTCTACTGCTCATAGGATATCCCAAAGGACCCTAAGGAAACACCCAGAGGGGTAGGATAGGTCAGTCACTAAAAGACTTCCCTTGCAAACATGAGAACCTGAGTTCTAGCCTCAGAATACAAGCAAGAAGCCAGGTGTAGGCTCACACAACTATAATCCCAGTGCTGTGGTTAGAGACTGGAGGATCCCTAAGACTGTCTCAGTTGAACCAGTTGGCATTCCTGGGTATGATTCCCAAGGCTCTCTTGGCATACATACATACATACACACACACACACACACACACACACACACACACACACACATCTGCACATGTATGAACAAGCACACACATACACACTCACTATAAAAAAACAAACTGTTGAGATATGTATACACCCATGTTTACAGTTGAGTTGTTCCAGGAGGTGGAACAGCCCCAGTGGTCATTAACAGAGGACAGATAAAGCAAAGGTAGTACATGGGATTGTATGCAGCCATAAAGAGAAACTAAGTCGTGACATTTGGAGGGGAGGGGTACAACTGGAACTGTCATGTTAAGCAGAATAGGCCAGACACAGAAAGACGACTATTGTATGCTTTCTCTCATATACAGAACCTTGTATGGACGCACGTATGTGTGTGTTTATATATATGGGTGGGCACATTAGAAAGGGAATCATGAGAGAATAGGGAGCATTCCTAGAGAAAAGGGGGGGATAGACAAGGGGTGGAATAGGTGTGATGAGAAGACAGAAGGGGAAACTAAGTCAGGGAAGAAAGAACCAGATGAAGGGAGAAGGGGGCACAGAGGGACAAATGAGTGTGGTGATATTTTGTGCTCTAACAAACAAAATTTACCTGAGGATCAGAGAACAGAGCCAGCCACTAGATAGACATAGAAGTCAGGCAGTGGTGGTACACACCCTTAATCCTATCATCCTGGAGGCAGAGATCCGTCTGGATCTCTGTGAGTTCAAAGCCACCCCGGACTATACGAGATTAATCCAGTCTAAAAGAGAAACAGAGCCAGGCAGTGGTGGTGCACACCTTTAATCCCAGCACTAGGGAGGAGGAGACAGGAAGTGATATGGCTGGGCAGAGAGAGGAATATAAGGTGGGAGGAGACAGGAGCTCATTCCCTTTCAGCTGAGGACATTCAGTCTCAGGATTCATGGAGATGGGATCTCACCTCCCTTTCGGCCTGAGGATTCAGTAGTGGTGAGAAGTTTCTCTAGTGGCTTGTTCCTTTGTCTCTCTGATCTTTCAGCATTTACCCCAATATCTGGCTGTGGGTTTTTATTATAAGACAAATTAGGATTCATGCAACAAATGAGAACACAGAATAATGACCTGGGCATATAAGACGCCATGGTGAAATCCATTGTTTTGTATACTAACCCAAAACTAAAAACATGTACATAAACAAGATGGAGCTGTCTAAGAGTCATTGGGAAGTCACATTTCAATGTTCATGTTTAAATGTGTCCAAGTGTTTATTGTTGTATCGTATTTTACATGTTCAACGCATCAAATGTGTATTACGATAGCATCCTTGTCTAAAGA